TGTAGGTAGTGCAAGAATCTGTGGGCTCACTAGCGCCCTCTGCCATGAGGCAGGCGTACTGTTTGCCTCACCGAGTAACTTTTTTACTGGGTTTTATGGTTAATCTGCAGCCTAAACACGTTACAGAACTACATTTTATACATTATCCAGATTATGGCAAGGCAGAGCATATAATCAGAGTGTTTGAAAGCATTTTATTTGCGATATATAGAGGGACAGCGACACACTATTGGCATCACATACAGTTTGTGAGGATTACACGATCCACCGAGAGGCACAGCAAAGTGCTGCCTCATCGCGCATCTCCTCCATGTATTTGAACAGGACATACGGAAATTCTGCTATTGTTTCTGAACACTGACCTGTTGGGCGCTGGGACCAGAGGACGAGTCCGCTTTGTTCCTCCGCGCGGGCTCGTTGCTGCGGTGGTCCGGGTCCCGGTTCACCTCATTCACTCCGCTCTTGTCTCCGGCCTGGTCCATGAAATCCTGGTCCGGGTTCTCCTCCTTCAATTCGCTGTTGTAGTGGTCCTGGTGAATGAAATCCAGGTCCGGGTTCTCCTCCTTTATTTCACTTTTATAGTGGGCCTGCTGAGTGAAATCTGGATCGTGGTTCTCCTCCTTCATTTCGCTCTTGTAGGGGTCCTGTTGGACGAAGTCCTGGTCCTGGTTCTCCTCCTTCATTCCGCCCTTGTAGTGGTCCTGATCGACGAAATCCGAGTCCTGTTTCTCCTCCTTTATTTCACTTACGTAGTGGGCCTGGTGAATGAAATCTGGATCGTGATTCTCATCCTTAATTTTGCCCTTGTAGTGGTCCTGGTGGACGAAATCCTGATCGAGATTCATTTCTTTAATCCCATTTGTGCAAAGGTCCTCCTTAACGAAATCCATGTTGCGTTTGTTGCCGCCACGTGGTGCTCCCAGTTTCATCTTTGTGCAACTAAAAGGATGATCGCGAGAGTAATCCCGTGTACTCTCGCGATCCTCACAGGCTGTCGTGGTTACTAGAGCATGAATCTGATGGGGGAACCGATCCCATCTTTTCATTGACAGTAAAGAACATAAAATAATAATTATAATATTACTGCTTGTACCAGACTGGAAGGACCAAACACCCAGACACTTAGGTGACTCTGACTGACCCACTTTCCTTAATTAAGTCATCCTTTTTTTCTTGTTAATGAATAAAAAACAGGTCAGTCAGCATGTCAAACACAAATATATAAAGCCATGGCACCGTTTGCAGTTTCCTGGTTCGGTGCGTTAATTAGTCATGAAATGTGATCTGATTTTCACCAAAGTCACAAATATCAAAAAACAATATTTATCAGCTAGCATACGTGATCATGTATGCTAGTGTGTTTTAATTTATTTATTTATTTCACTCGCTGTTTAAAGCACCTTTAGACTTTGTGCTACTGTTAATCTACTTTATATGTCACTTGTGTTGTTTGGCATTCAGGGTGGACCGCACAGTAAGAATTTCATTGTGCAGGAAAACACGCTTCCATACTGTGCATATGACAAACACTTTGAACTGAATTTAAGCTGATAAAACATAGTCATGATCTTTCAGGTTGTCTGTGCAGATTCTCAGTGATCCAGGTCATAGTAAAGTGAAAAAAAAAAATCAACTGGACTTAGATTTCTAGATCGAAGACGTTTCACCTCTCATCCAAGAGGCTTCATCAGTTCTGACTGCCTGGTGTTGAGCCAGAGATATTTATCCCCCTCGGTGGTGTTTCAGTCCTTTGAAGGCCAACGATGTCCCCTAACGACTGAGTTGTTGCAGCCCAGTATCGGTGAGAGTCGTTACCTGTCTTTGGATCCTCCCCTGTCGACCAACGCCTATTGTCCTGGTGGGCATGATTGGGCAGAGATCTCAAAACAGGGTTGTAGATGGATGACAAGTTGTGTCTTAGTCCACCACCCCTATTTAGTGAGGGGTGTTCTATCTTTACAAAAATAGCTTCCTTAACTCCTCTCTCAAACCAGCGATGTTCTCTGGAGAGGATCTGGACTTCACTGTCCTCAAAAGAATGTCCTTTGTCCTTCAGGTGGAGGTGGACTGCTGACTCTGGTCCACTGGAGTTGGCCCTCCTGTGTTGGGCCATGCATTTGTGAAGCGGCTGCTTAGTTTCACCAATGTACAAGTCGTTACACTCCTGACTACACTTAATTGCATACACCACATCACTCTGTTTATGTCTGGGTGTTTTGTCCTTCAGGTGGACCAGTCTCTGCCGCAGGGTGTTCCCTGGTTTAAAGTTAGGCCCACTTAGGGTATCCACAAGCCTTAAGGGAGTTCTGGATGTGGAGTTTCTCCTTCTTGGCCCCCTCTGTCGTTGTGGGCACTTCCTCTGCCCTGTGATTTAAAGTTCTGATGACTCCCAGTTTGTATTGAAGTGGATGGTGTGAGTCAAAAAGCAGGTACTGGTCTGTGTGTGTAGGTTTCCGACATACTTCTACCTTCAGGCTTCTGTCCCCTCCCAAGTGGACTGCACAATCCAGAAAGGCCAGACAGTCATCTCTGACATCCTCACGAGTGAATTTGATGTTGTCATCCACAGAGTTGATATGCTTGGTGAAAGCCTCTACCTCCTGGGTCCTGATCGATCTTTCATGTTTTTATTGAACAAGACCTGGAGCAAATGGTTAAAGTTGATTTCCCTCCACTTTTAAAAGCAAATGAAAGTATACTCCTTTGTCTGAATGACGCCACCCATCATTTCAGCAGTCGTGGCAGCAACAAGCCGAAGATGTTTGTTCATGATTGGATCCTTCCTGCTCTGCTTGTCGGATCCTGTGCGGTAAACGAACTTCAGGATCCAACCCATAGTCTAATCTCTAATGCCTCTTATAAGATTGTTCCTATGAACTCGGTCGACGCCAAAGTCCTAGTCGACCGAGTAAGTAGGAAGTTCCAAGTTAGTCATTAAACTACTTGTTTAGTTTGTCTGACAGCGCAAAACCCAAAGGTCAGTTTACTATCAGAAGACTAAAAACAGACAAAAAGCTGCAACAACTTAATCACGTCAGTCCATTTTCCTTCCCGTGACACACACACACACAAAAAAAGAAATCACTCCATCTTAACCCACTTTTTAAAAACGAGTGCTGACAGTGGCTCAGCAACAGATTTCACACAACTTAAACCACTTTGATGCCAAACCTGATGTTAATGACATCCTGTGCCATAAATCTGACTATACCAGCTTAAATGACATTTTCTTGGTTACAAAACTTTATTACAGTTGGCCACCAAATTAAAATGAACATAGTAATCCCAAGGTTTTCCAAGCAGCCTGCAGAATTGTCGAACTGGATAAAGGGCTCAAAAAGGGGCTGCAAGTTCTCGACACTGTTTAACAGAAGGATGGCATCAGTAATGTGTGAATGTGGGATCAGACTTTCCTTGGGATCTTTATAGTGAAATGGGCAAAGACAGGACAAAGACAGTGGGAGCAGCTGCAACAGAGCGAACACACAAAACCAAATGTGCAGACAATCTAAAAATGCAAAAAACAAAACAAAACTGCAATTCCTACTGTTATCAGGGCTCAACAAATCACTAACTACATCATCAATTGATCTGAAAAATACACAGTCTGCTGATCAACTGCTCAGAGCCCAGGGTGAAGGATAACGTTGCCTCAGCTCCTTGAAATACAACTGCTTATAAGAAACACAGCAGATTAAGTTTGTGTGGATTCACTGTTTCAGCCCAACCCCCGAGTGGGAAGTAATACAAGAAACTCTTTCATGGATATCATCAGCCATTATATTACTATGGCTTTAACAAGCAAATTCAACCCTAACACACACACCAAAAAAAAAAAAACTTTAAAGATGTCCTTCACTTCTGTCCCTCACGTGTCAACAGTAATCATTAAAGAAAAGGAGCCGAGTTGTGTGCGTGTGTGTATTCAACAGTTTCAAGCTGAAAGTTAGAGCCAGCCTTCGCTGTGATTGGCGATGGGTACAGTTTGTCAGGAGAGAGGGCAGAGCGCCCTCAGATGTGCCACTCGCAGCACCCCCTCATCTTACAGAGACAGGCGGGCCAATGGTTGTCCCTGTGGTGTCACCAGCTCGTCACTCGTCTGAGCCGGCCGAACGTTTCTGGTTCCTTTTGCGTGGAGATCTTCTTGGAGATGCCTTGTCTGGGGGAGGAGGATTAGAAGACTGTATGAGACTGGTGGATTTGACCAAACACCTTTAAACACTGAAGCCCCTTTTACACTGGCAGTTCAAGGCAGGATTAATGCACCGCTTGTCCACTGTGTAAAAGTTACAAACCTCCATATGGGGGGTCGGTGCTGACCACATTGTAACTGGCGGCTAACAAGCTCACTTGTTTGTTTTTTTAAAGCTCTTTATTGAACAAGACACTGAACAGCCCAGAAAACAAAAAGCCAGGAGGTGCAAAAACTAAGCCGGCCTGTTAGTGTGGTACCAGCTAGCTTCTCTCATGGAGAAGTGCAGATGATTTTAACTGGGCTTCGTTTTAGTGTTGCTGGGATACAGAGCTTCTCCACAGCCGACATGTCACAGCTCCAACACTCCTTTAACAAAGACTCAGTTCTGTGAAGTGTCCCAGCAAGCCAACATGCACAGCACTGATAATCTACGATTACACTAGTTTCAAGCTGTATGTTCTAGACTGAGGTAGAGATACTCTGACTGCTTTTATCAAACCGAAGCTGAAAAGTCATTTTTGTTCAGGCCAATACTGAACCTCTCCACTGCTACTGGATGGACTTCATGTGTCCAAACCCTCACGAACAACTTCAGTTTTACCAGCGTGGACAAATATATAACAGCAATATGGTCTGAGGGCTCCGCGAGAAAATGTTAATGGTTTGATTTTCTGTTGAAACAACCTGAAACATCAGAGCATCTGTACAGTTAAGAACAGGGAGCTAAATTGCACAAGGATCTCACACAGTCCATTGGTCATCTGAGAATCAACAGTTCCACATGAGCACTACACCAGACTTCAGCAGAAGTCCAGAAAGTGGTTTCAGACACACACAAACACACACACACACAAACACACACCCGCATGACACAAGCAGGCCTCACCTCTGCGACTCTGCACTGAAGGCGCAGGAAAGTGTGACAGCGAGGAAGGAGGAGAGAGACAGAGAAGAGTGAGTGAAGGTCAAAGTTCAATCAGAAACAGGAAACAAACACCTGCACATTACCATCAGCTGACACTGTGCGGGAAACAAATGGTGGAAGGACATGCTCAGTTTGTTTTATTCAAGTGTTTAGTAGCTTTATCGTTATTCTGTGAAAAAGAAAAAAAAATCTATAAAAGCTAGTTTTATTTGCTGTAAACTGCAAATACGTTGATAACTGTTGCAACCCTTACTAAAGGTTGTAGTTTCCTTTTTAAATGTACTCTATGTTGTGCTGTAGCAACCAGGAAAACAGCCTCCCAACTCAACTTTAACTAAACATTTGAAGACATTTAACTCAAAATGCTAACACTTTTGGGTTATTTCCCAAGAAATACCACACGGACACTAAAACCAACATGTTCTCCCCGTAACGTGTGTGAACCCAGACAGTGGTTTAGCCGATTGGTCGGAGCCATCGACCAAAAACACACCAGTGAGCTGCACTGGGCGACAGGTTTCTTCCTCAGGAACTGTGCATGTGTGCTCTGCTGGCTCATCCCCACTAGCTTCTCCACACACACACACACACACACACACACACACACACACACACACACACACACAATCTGTGGATGAAATAAAATCAATAAAATAGATTTTAAAAACTGAAAAGATCTGGTCTGATTTGAAAACACGGCTCAGAATCTGACCACGAATTCAGCACCAGCTCTGATACAATCGTATTTCTGCCAGGTTGACCTGGACACTCTTGTAAAATTTAATCAGAGTGAGGTTTTCCTGGTAAAACAAAGGTTAAATAAATCTCTAAGGTGAATTCAGAATCTCTCCACCTGAGTACAGTCATTTTTAAGATGTACTTTTGTTTCGACTTGATTTCAAGCTTCAAATCCCCGACAGCTGATTTTCAGTGATGTGAAACCACTGGCTGCCCAGACGCTACAGAAACACAGTATTGTTTCAGTTCAGTACTTGTACACTGACTGAGCTGATCCATGGGGCCTTATGTTTCATCAAAGTGTAGCACTGGTGTGATCTGAAGGAAAGAGGGTGCCTACAAATAGCTTTCAGACACCCTGTGAAAGGTGCGAGTTCATGACACGAAGCACACATACTGATCTGGTTGAGCGTCTCTTGAGGGATCCAGCTCAGGTCGACATCGCTGTGGCTCGATGTTCCCATCTCTACCTTTTGAGCCGGACGCCTCCTCTGTACACACACACACACACACAGAGTAAAAGTCTTAGATGTGAACTCGTCTCTCCTGTTTGCTTTTGATACAAATGCAAAACTATTTGACTACATGGAGAAAGACGAAGAAGAAATCTCAAAACATATGAGGGTCAGTGACTGTTGGGGTTTTTCCTTAACCATGATGCAAGTACCTGACTGACGACCGTTTTAAGCCATTTTGAACACAATTACCCCCAGTGTCTGAAACATGTTCAATAAAGCTCACATTACTGCTGTACCTTTCTGGACTCCAGCAGCTGGTGAAGGCCTACGATGACCAGCAGCCCGAGGCCAGACAGAAAGACGTACATGAAGATCCTGTGAGAGGAGGAGAACAGGTAAACATTAGTGAAAATTGACGCAGAAATGAAGTAAGGGAAATAAAAATCTCAGAAATAAATCAAATAAATGCGGAAAATTAAAACTGTGATTAAAGGCTTGAGTGCAAACACTTACGTCTCTCCGTCCAGTCCGTCCTCCTTCTCAGTGATGGTGACCGTCTGGTTGAACACGGCATCCTGGAAGACATTTCCCTGCACAGAGGAAGAGAAGAGAAGTGAGAAAAGGAGGTTAAGACACAGAGAAAGCAGATGGGACATGACTAACCAGTCATCTGATGCCAGCTTTTAATACTTAAAGGAAAAGGCCAGTAATATTCTACGCTTTTGTTACTTCCAATTCCACAGAGAGGCTGAAGCCAGCAATAAATTGTTTTGAATAAACACATAAAATCAGTGACCTTATACTTTCACAGTGGAAACGTGATGCTACAGACACTTTCAGGCCATCAGATGACAGACAGCCGAGTGCTGTTTAATCATAACCCAGTCATCTCTCTGACAACATAAGTACAAACACCGTGACAACACCTGGAGGAGCCCAGCACCACCCCGTCCTTACACTGCTGTCCTTGTAGTTGAGGTTGATGACAAGTCCAAACGGCCGCCCTCCCATGGGCTCTGCGGGGATGAAGGAGTACTCAAAAGTGGCCTGTTTGCTGGGGGGAACCACAGTGCCAAGCTGGAGGGCAGTGAAGTTCTGGATGAAGAACTGGTAATCCTGTCAAACACAGCAGAGTCAAGCAGAGCTGCACAGAACTGCTTGGTCAGCACTGAAGACAGTTTCTGTACCTGCGGGTAACGGAAAGAGGCATCCAGAGACTCCACAATAAAGTTCTCTGATCCCTTGTTGGTGAAGCCGAGCAGGAACTTGACGATGTTGTTGGCAGGGAAGTCTGGACAGAAAGAAGAACATCTGATCAATACAGAGTCCACGCTGCTCCTGCACAGACGGGACCACTCAAGTCAAACAAAAGACAGTTACCCTCTCCTTTGACAAACAGGATTGTGGTGTCGGCATTAGGAGAAGCCTTCACCTCCCCAACCAGCGCTTCTTCTTCTTCATCTTCTTTGTCTTCCATCTAGACAGACACACACAGGCTTAGCTCTATCCAAAATATTTCAGCATCTTGTGTATCATTACAACTGTCATGTGATAATGTTGTGTACAAGACAATCACCCAAAATTAAAAATCAATTTAATAAAAAAATGGGGGTGGTGTTAACTCGCATGCAATTCACAGTTTTCACTCAACCAAAATGATACAATTTTGATAATCAAGGGCCATTGTTAAGTGAAAATTTTACAGTTTGAGGTTTGCTAATGCAACTATTAGCTGCTTTTCTATAACGGTTTACTGAATATATTGGAACTGTAGACATAAATAAGCCAAGTTGATGTTTGAAAATTGTAATGGCCATTTTTCAGTGTTTTCTGATAGTTTATAGAGCAAATGAGAAAACAATCTGCAGGTCAACTAATGAAAATAAATGTCAGCTGAAAAGCAACAATCCAACCTCCAATACTCTGTCCCAGACAAATAAGGCATCATCAATGTTGACAATTTCAACCTTTATGTAGTCGTTCGGTCACTCACCAGTTCTGCGTTGTCATCATCCTCTACCTCTGCCTCATCATCCTCATCCTCAGCTGTTACATCATCCACAACATCTTCATCCACAGCCTCAGCCTCCTCATCCTCCGTCAGATCCTGGGCACTCACCACCAGCCCTGATGCAGAAAAATATACTTACTTCATCTTCACCTCAGATGAAGATCTTACAATCACATTGCAAGCTAAAAAAAATTAATCCATTTACATTTTGGATACATTTAGACCTGCAACATCTATACTATGCTGCTTTAAAATGTATGGGCCCATTTTACTGGGATGAATGTCTTTCCACAGTAGAGTGTATAAAATGTGTATTTTACTGCTGCACTGTCATGTCAGTCAGACAAATTATACATCTTCAGTCTGACATACTCTGTTGGAAACATACCAAAAACAATTGTAATCAAATACAACAGCCCTGTGATAAAACCCTGCTGTCTTCATGAAGGCTGAAACGAAGTGACTATTATTCTGTCCACTTACATTAATAAGGCGAGAACTAGACTTAAAGGTGTTTTCAAAACTAAAATCAGCACAACAATCTCTGTTACCTCAGGGTGTATTTGATCACTGTGTGCAACACTGTAGATCACTGAACAAGACTCCTTTACAGAAATATTTGATTTTTGCATATGCCAATAGTTTACAATTTGAGGTATATAATTTGTTGTACTAGTTAAAAACTGACATCTATATCTGCTTGTTTTACCCACTGACAAATAATCATTTATTGCATAAAATACAATCGTATACACACAGTGATAAAGAACTTCGTAGTGCACAGTTCAACCAATCATAAATTAAAGAAGCAGTGTGCTTCGTTTACACATATTCTGCTCAGTTTAAGTTTAGTCAAATAACTGCTCAAGTACTTGTTATAATGTAGGCATATAAATGCATGTGCTTACTGACTAGTCTCAACTAACGTTACAGTCAGTCAGAAGTCAAGACAATCAGATCTGCTTGACATTCTCTAAGCCACAGACTGTTTCCTTCTCAACAAATGCAGATTTAATAACACTTCTTACTTTTCCACAATGTAATAAACATGCCTTTTTCAAATACATGCCTGACTGCTGAAATGATTATATTTTAACTCGTTATTTAGTTTCCAGGAAGCTGCTCGTGTTGAAAGAGCCAGTTAGCTTCCCGGCTAACAGGCAGACAGTAAGGACACGTCAGTCTAAGACGACGGATAAACTGCACACATGTAGCGAACACAGACGAGACCAAACGAAATTTAAACTGTCATTACGAATACGTTACAACCCAGTAGCTCAGAAAAACCCACAACTTATGCAGAAGCCCCTCGATTTTACATTCAGTTACTTTCAGCTAGCACATGTCAAACTGGGCAAGGCCTTCCCTCTTTGCCACAGCAGCTACCTTTAGCCGAGCAGCTAACACTAGCATGTTAAAGCTACTAACTATAAAAACAGTAGCCTTTAAGTCGCATAACAAACTTACCGTTGATAAGGACCGTTGCCGGGAAAACCAGAAGCACTAGCAGCAACAGTTTAGGCAGAAATGTCATCATTTTGAAACTGAAATCAGTTGGTTACCATTCAGTGTCGACCAGTCACCGAAGCCGAGTGCCGCCGTGCTACTATTATAACGCATGTGCAAAAGCCATTGACGAGTAGGTGTGGTGAAGTTTGTAGTCCTTCGAAAAGGGTCTCCCCTGGCACTGTCCTCAGCTGTTGGCGAGGTTATAACTGTGGTAGTGATAACTACTTATGCTTGGGGTTAATCACCGCAAAATACGACTGGTTTGGATTGTAGATACGTTAAACTTGGAAACCAATTTTAACACAACTCCAGAACTGTAGGCAGATCCATGAAGCAGAATAAAAATATATTTGCTGCTCAAATTACAAGTTTCTACAAGAGGCATCATTGATTTACTCTAAAACTCTTTGCTCCTCTAATGAAATGGGTATTACGTGAAAAAAGGTTAAGCCCCTGAACCCAATACAAACAAAGGGAAAGGGTTATGGTAGCCCCCCCCCCCTGACTGAGGTTGGACTCAAGTTTGCAGACCCAGGTGCTGGGGGGAAAACATGACGGTTGCTGGTTAAAGGACACAAAGTATCAACAGAACACAACAAAGTCCAAGAACATATACAGTCCAGGTTTTGTTGTAATCTAGAAATTACCTAAAGCTGAAATCTAACTTCATTTTAT